CTACTTGCATGATGTTGTTACGCGAAACCATAATGAACAATGTAAACATTCGGAGCTTTAATTCCAGAGAACAGTATATAAAAACTTAATAATAATATCACATAAGTTGAAAGTAAATCTAACCATTATTTTCATCCAAGAACTTTTGTAAACAAAGTCTATAAAACTACTATTATGAATTCTGTGAATTCTGTGATTTTAGTCGGACGCACTGGTGATGGAAAATCATCTCTCGCTAACATGATGACTCAAGGGGATCTTTTTGATGATGAAAACAAATTCCCAATAAGCAATAAGGCAGTGGGTGAAACTTCTGTTATAGAATATTGTATTGATAGAGACTTTGAAGTGTACGATACGATAGGGTTATGTGAAGCAAGAAAAGGAAGCACTTTACACGAGAAGGCAATCAAAGGAATCAGAACTTATTTCTCAAGAGTTTCAAAACCGGTCCATTATATATGCTACGTTAAAAAGGGGACCACCAGATTCACAAAAGAGGACAGAACCGCCTTTAAGGAATTTAAAAAGATCTTTAGTAAAGCAGAAAGCAACTTTGTTATCATTATCACAGATAGTAATCAGGAATGGGTCAATGAAAATGTAAATACAATACGTGATTATTTTGGAAATTATAATATCATTGCTGTCGATTTTCCGTTTAGGGATCGTTATAATAATGTTGCGATGGATGAGAGGAATCGAATTATAAGGATGAAAAATCGGGAGCATTTGTCTAAATCTTTATTAAATTTATGTTATAAGGGTGTCAAATTAAATATTCTCAGCCCTTCAGAGTATAGAGAAGACAAAGTGTCAAAAATAATTGCCTTTGTGCCGGTCATTGGTGCAACTTATAATCTAATCTCTGCAAGTGTATATCATTTCATATTAGACAAAGATGCAATTGCAGCAGACCGATTCAAACAAGGAATGAATTTAGGAATTGAAGATTTTAAAACTATTGCAGCTCATTTTGGTAATTCCTTTGTGTCTCCAACTCGATTTTTAGGGAAATTGTTAAAGTGAAGTTTCACAAACATCCGCACCGTGTGAATTATTTCTTCATCGAGTAATATTGATTTATATTATGGTAGATAAATTGTAAGGGTGTTAAGTTGTCTCATTAACCGTTCCAAAGATAGTCCTAATATCTGAAAAATCTACTAAACTCTGATTCAAAGTTTGTTCGAACTAGTATGGTAATAAATTATGACAATACGGTAACGTGGAGGGTGATGTAGTTTAAACCTGTTGGGGCTGAGTGGAAACAAATTTTCATTAGTTTTTTTACAATTATCACTTTTTTTTTTATTTTCGTTTTTCGTTTGTTACTATTTTTATAAACTAAGGTAGATCTGGGGATTTTTTAAAAAAAATTGGTATTTATTTATAAAACTTTATACGTATACAAAATCTATGATTAATTTTTTTAAATAGTAAAATTAAACCCCAAATAAATTATATTAAATTAAGAGCAACTGTCCTATTTCTGTGGATGTAAAGTATATACGATTTTTTATTGGGTAAATCGAATAAAGTATATTAAGTAAACATACGTATCGCAGTGTTCGATTACACTTAACCTGAAATTTTTATAAGATTCTATTAATAAGATTAACTATATAATTATAACCTAAAAAATTTACAAAAAAAATCAAATTTACTAATGTTAAATTAATAAATTAAACTAGGAAACAGAACCCGTTAAAATTCCGAAGCATAAGAAAACTCTTGGGAGTTGGGTTTTGGAACGATTTTTAGTTTGAGATCTATAGTACTGTATTTCAAAATGAACATCGCAATGCTTCGATAGACAATATCACGTGTGTGTTCGGCCTGTTTTATTATTGGCTGACCAACTTATGTATTACAAAGCATGTGCACAATTTATACATTTTTTTTTTTTTTCGTATAAATACTCTACTAGCACTATTCTAATCTCATTAAGCCATTTTATTTTGGCTGCTGTTCTCATTAAGCCATTTTATTTTGGCTGCTGTTCATCCTTAATAACATCCTTACTATGAATAATTCTCAACACTAATGAAGACAATGTTTTTAACTTCTTATCAAATGATCACATCAATACTGATGTTCAAACTATTCACAAAAATAATAACATTCAGGATGTTAATCTGGTATACACAGATAACAATTTTTCAATTCACTTGAATCTAGCAAACAAAGTTATGTATCTGGTTATGATGAAACTAACTCATCTCTCACTTGGTTCTCTACTGGTGAAATGATACATTTACCAATTCAAATACATAAAGAAAATATATTTATTAGGTTTCAATACTCAGAAATACTTAGAAATGAGTCTAGAAATGCAAACATTAGATACAATCCCTATCTATGAACAAGTATATATAGAAGATATTACCTAACAATGTTAAAGAATCAGACAAGACCTTGGCAAAAGTTATTTATAGAACATCAATATCATTGCGATCATTGGATAATATACATGTCTCAAAACTGTCATAGTCAGACCATGATATTTACCAAGCTTGGGCATTTATTGAAGGATTGTACAAAAATATTAGAGTACTATTATTTGATTCATTATCTTATATTAATCAGGCAAGAAGAGATCAAGCAATTAAAACTATATTGTCATCTTATAATCCATTAGCTGAAAATAATGAGGTGTTCAATCAAGACCTTAATACTCTTATTGAAAAGAAGAATACTACAAACAAATTTATCACTGAAGCTCTTAGAAATAAGAGGCATGTCTCTTCAAAAAGAGACAATACCAGTTACTTCAATAGGTTAACTCCTTTTTACTCAAATACTAGGAATAATCACAACAGACATGAAAATTATTGGTTTTATAAACACAATAGGAACAGTCAGAAAAACAGGCAATAAGATGGCCCTATATCACATGCAGGTTACCTCCCCCAAGACAGTTAATAATAAAAACTCAAGTTGCAAGAAGACTCATACAGTTTGTATATGTTTGGCAAAACACATTTGGTTCCTTTTAGGTGTTGGATATTTTACAATACAATTACATACTGTTCTCTGGAATTAAAGCTCCGAATGTTTACATTGTTCATTATGGTTTCGCGTAACAACATCATGCAAGTAG